ACTTTTTTTTATTATTTTTTTATTATTTTTTTTGGTTTCATGTGTGTTATAATGTTTCCGAAGCGAAGCGAGGGCGGGTCGCTAGTACTAATATATAAGTGTACAGTGGATTTTACGGATGTTCCGCTAAAACTACTGAACCATGCATCCGATTGACTTGAAACTTGGTATCCATGTAGAAAATACATGTACTTACTAATATTTATATGAGTGTTGGATTCCCTACACCAGTTGCGGGGGCGTTAATGATGAGAATATTTGTGGGGGTGAGAAATAGTAATGTCAATTTTAAATGTCCAGCGAAGCGGACGGGTACAGCTATAGTGTATATTTGCGTTTCATACCAAATCATCACGATCATAATCACCTCTCACACGTCCAATATATATTAATAGGGAGAGGCAATATGAAATACCACTACAGACCACATTCATTTTCTGGGACATTTCGTTAAAAATAACTTAATCGGTAGCTTCAAGTAGGCTAGACTAGCAGCTCGGTGATAAATAATATTGTAAACGAGCTACCGAAACGGCCACTTTCTAGAGAATGGAATTTCGTATTTGCCCAGAGCATGACAGAAATATCCGTACAAATTTTAATTTTTATCACGATATACTAGATAATATCAATGAACGATATTTCGTTTATTTATTATTACAGTTAATTTGTTAAAGAATTTAGATATATAATTTATATAATTATTAATATTTATATTATATAAATAATTTAGATTTTCTATTTATAAGTAGCTTTACACTTAGATAATTTTTTTATGTTTAGTTATTAATTTTTGATAATAAAGAAAATTAATATATTTGTAAAGATTTATAATAACAGATTCACTCACAAAGTAATAATGCACTATGCTATGGTAGGTACCTATAACCATCCGTGGTATGTTTGCCGTCAAGCAGCATTCCGATATCGAGTTGAGGGAACGCACTCCCGCCCCCGTCACGTTACAGCCGGAGTCCCGCAAGGCACCGCTCTGTCTCTCTGTTACTGTTCAGTTTGTATATCAATGATATACCCTGGTCTCCGGAGACCCATCTGGCGCTCTTCGCCGATGACACGGCTATCTACAACTCGTGTAGGAAGAAGTCGTTATTGTATCGGCAACTCCTGACCGCAGCTACCACCATGAGACAGTGGTTCTGGAAGTGGCACATCGACATCAACCCCACGAAAAGCACAGCGGTGCTCTTCAAAAGGGGTTGCCATCCGAATACCACTTTGAGCATCCCACTCCCGACTAGGCGCGTTAACACCTCCGCCTCCACTATTCACCCAATCATGATGTACGACCAACCCATGCTGATAGCCTTGAGAGGCTATATCAGCTTCTCCTTGACGTGTAGAAGAGCTCACGGGGCTCAAACCGGGTGTGTTGATAACACTAGCCCTAGCAAGAGCAGTGCTTCGCAGAATCTACCACCGGATCGAAAACGCGACCCACTGAGAAGATTCGACGAGAAACTCAGTGGGCTGTGTCTATAGGTTAATTCACTCGTCGAGCCCTTCGTCGTAAGCGATGGGTTCGACGAGGACGGTGACCGGACGGCCTCGATATGAAATACGGGGGTACAACAACGCGAGGTGGGATTATTTAGGTCTTATTAAGGCAACTGAATCGCGGTCGCGCTTCCATGACTATCTTTAAATAATATGAAATAGATCCGTACGATGCACGCGCCTACTTTTGGGGACGCTATTCCAGAAACATCGATCCTAGTAATTGAATAAACAGCGCGTAAACTTGAAACCAAAAAACCTGAAACCAAAAAAAAAAAACACTTCAAACAAAAAACAACCTATAATTATTTATTTTAAAAGTAAGAATGGTTAAATAACCAGTTACTGCTGAACGATTTACAATAACCATTACATTAATACAGTTATCATAAATTACATTTTAAAAATGAATACATATTCAACACGTCACATCGGCAGCACACATTAATATTATTGACAGCTGTATTAGCACAAATCAGACCGACCGTTAGGTTTATAAAAAGAATACGTACTTACATGTCGCGGATTTAATTTAATCCTGTTGAAAGATAAACTTTACTGACGATGTAATGTAATTACAGAAAGACATAAAGATATCCCTTCTTCTAATAAATAGTGTACCTTTGGGTATTACAGAGAGTATTTATCTATAATTTATAATCTTTTTTATATATTTTGTTATATTTAATTTATATTATATTTTATTTATTTATAATTAAATCTAACAATAAATTACATTTGTAACTGCTCCTAGGCTACACTAGATCATGTTTATTAATACAGCCATAATAATCTTCATCGTAAACTGTAGTGCGAAAGTAACTCTGCGAACCTCTTTTTATATTATATTATAATATTTTTTTATACTTGCGCCACAACATAGTTCAGCCAGTTACAGCTGTGCTAAGCGGTAATTAAGAACTTTTTTGGCAAATTAGGCAAATTATATCATGATGAGCACAAAAAGTTTGCATATGAACCGTTAGCTTATCTGTAATAAGACGTGTTTATTAATTTTTTTTTTAATATTGTATCTCTAGAATTATTTCAAGAGGTTTTTTTTTGTACTGGAGCTCATAGTTATTAAGTTACTATTTTATTCATTACTCCTTGTAACACGTTCTTTCGTTCGAATTAAAGTTATAAATAAATTGTATTTTGGTACAACGTTTTCTGTCTTAGCATATAGTCATGAGTCATTTATTTGTCTCTTGTTTCGAGAAAAATGTGCCAACAACAAACAGACTTCGTCGTGGTTATTACATACTTTACCTATTACAAATTTGTATATTATGTAGCAAAATTAGAATCATGTTTCAAATAAACCACAGTAAAACTAAATTTCAAATGTTTCCCAATGTAAACTAATTTTACCGTAGAATTCTTTGAAGTAATCGATTATTGCATTCTATAATGTAATGTGGCACGTTTTCACTGCGGTATGGATAAATATTTTATTAATTCTTACAGTTTATTAACGTAAATTTCCATATCAGTAAAATTCTGTTATACTCGTAATCTAACACGTAATATCTTACACACTGTAAGAATAGCGGAAACGGGAGATGTTAAAACTGTCACATGATGGTTTTTGAAATTGCAAAGAAAATTGAAAAGAATAGCAGAAGAAGCAAGATCCGATCAAGCGATTTATGGTATAGATTAAATTTTTGTTTATATCTATAAAGGGTGGCTTTTTGAAGATAAGCAAAAAATACTCTTTAGTTAAAGCCGAATTTACATTACGAAATTAGTGGCGTGAAATTAATTTCGTGACATTAGTTTTACCAACAGTTTCACGTGTAATTTAATACTTTCGTAATGCATAATGCGTAATTTTTTTACCAAATTACTTTCGCATATATCGAAACTACTTTCGTGAAACTGAGCTCAACATGCATGACACTAATTTCGTAATGTAAACTCCGCATAACGTCGCGTCTACACTATGAAATTAGTTGCATGACACTAATTTCACCAAAAAATCGCGCAGGGCACGAAACTAATTTGCATGCATGAAATTAATGCATGCATTACGAAAGTACTAAATTACGTGTGAAACTGTTGGTAAAACTAATGTCACGAAATTAATTTCACGCCACTAATTTCGTAATGTAAATTCGTCTTTAAAGTAAAACTGTAGACCCTGTAAAACTCTTTAGTTTTAAAAAGATTTTTCTTAGAAGGGTTCAATCACCTTGTTCAGTCTTGCATAGTATAATAATACTGTTTAAATATTAATTTAAATAGTGATTAAGGGCTTTAAATGCGGTTTTCTAATTTTATTACTTTCTAGTTAATTCAGAAAAGAAAACAATAAGCTATTGTCGTTGAAGAAATATGAACCTATCAGGATTTCTGATGGATCTTTAGTATTTCTTATTGAAAGTGAAATAAACTATTTTACGTTCGTCTATATTTATATATTTTAGAGCAATACTCCACGACATTGTTAGTTTGAAGATTATGAAGTAAAGGTAGCAAGCACCTTCCTATTTTGATGAGAAAAAAACTCGGACTTTTAAAGTCTTTGATGTCACACTCTAACTCCCCTGTGACTCCGTAATTTGCGTATGAGTTACAGAAACGTTCCGAGCCGTTGCTTGCGAACAATGGTTCTTCCGTGACTTCAAATCTTTTCTTAATTTATCCGATTTGACAAGATGCAACTCTGGCATATCTTAATGATACGTGTGTAACTTTTCGAATTTCATTTGGGTCCATCTATTGTTTACAATAATTATTGTTAAAATATGCAAATTACGTATATGTTTGAAGTATTCATGATTTATCATACAGCCGGTAATTTATTGTCAGGAATGAGGTTATTCGACAGAGAACTATGTCATCGACATAGCTCAAAAGAGTCGGCAAGCTAAAGTTGCTAGCTAGTCTTATATGTCGTAAAACCAATGATAGTTGGAACAAACGGATTCTTCTCGAGTAGTGTACCTTCCGGCTAGTCGGAGCGATAATCTACGAAGAATGGCTGACAGGGAATGGATGAAGAGAACAGAAAACGGGAGTTTAGTTGTGTAAATAAAGATTTATGTCCAGCAATGGACAACTGTGGACTGATGATGATGATGATGCGCTAATTTGTGTCAATAATGTGCATATGGCTTATGCTCATATATGTATAGCATATTAACGTAATGAAGTAACTATGATGTACTATTACTACATACGTGCCAAAATGTTTCAAAAATGTCGATAACTAACTGTACATAATAACAGTTTTAATTCACAAGTCCTAATAAGGTACACACGATCCGCTAACTTTCTATAAAAAAAACAGCTATGTCAAGTGTATAGAGACCTCTTTGTTGTACAAACTACCGATTTGTTCTCAAGAGTCCCTTGATAAAACCAGTCTTAGAGTATTCGCTGCAACGAGGCTGCACTAAAGAAAGCATCTCGATTTGATCGTGAGCCAACGCTAATAACCTTAAAAACAAGCGCGTAGCCGCGCGCCCTCCATAACTAAACGCAAACTCGATTCGCGCGCACGAATGACGTTCTAATTTTAAAATTGCGCGGGAGTTCTCCAGTCTCACAATAAACATAATTTGTGATGTGATTTTATAATTTAGCTTCTCTTTTTTTTTAATTCAAAATGCGTGCTGTGATTTTTTTGTATACTTGTGTGTTTGTTGTGGTGGGACAGGACATCAACGCAATGATGAGTATGCCGAAATACGACGAAAGATACGATTATTTAGACGTTGACGATATATTTAGAAATAAAAGACTTGTCAGAAACTATGTTGATTGTTTGATAAATGCTCAAAGGTGCACGCCAGAAGGAAAGGCCTTGAAAAGTGAGTAATATAGACAGACAACTGTTGATTAGATCTATTTGTTACGTAGCAAGCATCATTCTTTTTTGATAAAGAAATGCAGAGCATAATTGAGATTATAGATTTAAGTCTTTTTTTATAATTTACTTCATTTTACTTGAAAATTATTTATCATAAACCTAAGAACGATGCTGTTGTCGTTAATAAAATTTTCCAGTTTCATTAAAAACAAAGTTAACGTGCTCTGTGGCTTCTTATTCGTTTTCTATTCCATTTTTTCTATGTAGGAAAATAAAAATAGGTTTTATACCAGATGGGCAGGGGCCACAGCCCATCTATGCTGGTATAAAAAAAAATTGGTATGTAGCTTAATTTCCCCCTAGTTCAATCGTGACCTAATAAACTTTGCTGGGAGTTCCTGGGTAATATTTTGCACTATAGAGTCTACCGACGTTGTATTGGATGTCAGCTATCTTTATATCCGGTGGTAGCGTCGCGGCGTCGCTGCGTTATCCCACCGGAGATAATAAGATTTCCTTCTTTCTCTGACTCTACGACAATTAGATTTTTTAAATCGTTGAAAAACTTTCAGAATTATAATGACCGCCACGCAATGAACACTGAAACAAGATTTATGCATTACATAAATAATCACTATTTATCGTGTAAAAATGTACTTTATAATAAGTCTGATAGTTATAATTTTGATATGTTTGATAGAAGATATTGATCGAGACATTGCGTTGACCGCAAATAAGGTCACAAGAGCAGCGAACATAGTTCAATAAACGAGTATATTTAAAGACGTTATCTCAATCATTAATGTATATGCACAAGTCTTGTAGGATTCGATTGATCTATTGCACCAACTCTTACTTGCTGTTCGTCGTCATCGACGAGTTCGGTGTTGATAGTGATCGATGCTTGAGGGTCTTAAAAGCACCGAGAGTGAATCAGGGGGATCCGAAAGTACATGTTTCCGGCGACGACGGCTTTGCGTTGACCGGTCGCGATCTTTTTTTTTCCTACCTATGCTGATAGCCTTGAGAGGCTATTTCAGCTTCACCTTAACGTGTAGGTCAGCTCACGGAGCTCAAACCGGGAGTGTGGCTAACGCTGGGTCTAGCAAGAGCAGTGCTTCGCAGAATCTACCTCCGAATCGGAAACGAGACCCACTGAGAAGATCCGGCGAGAAACTCAGTGGGCTGTGTCTATGGATTAATTCACTCGTTGAGCCCTTCGTCGCTAGCGACGGGTTCAGCGATAACGGTGACTGGTGCTTGTGGTACCTAAAAGCACCGTTAATGGATCGGGAGGATCCGTAATATCAGTCGCGGTCGTTTAAGATAATTGTATTGAACACTTCTCGGGTAATCAGTTTGAATTAAAACAGAAAACTTCCAATCACATCAAGCTGTATTATGACTGCGGGTCAATCAATGCCGTTTTCTTTTCATTCCACACTTTTCAAGTGTAGTGTATTCGTCAAATTTGTTGATGTGTGAGGGGAAGACAGATACTACGAAAGAATACTATTTAAAATATGGAGAGATTTTTTTTAAAAATCTTTGGTCTTTTTTTCTTCTTTATTATAGTTACCGATTCTTTGCAAACGCAAAAATATAAAAGTGAGACTTATTGCAGAGGGTAGCTTTAGTGATTTACATAATCTTCAATCTAAACATATGGACAGGTTTGATTGGAATGCAATAAAACGCAGATTGCATCACCATTTTTCCTGTTTTTTTGTTCGTTACGATTATTTCGAACTTATACATATTATATGAAGGTATTTACATATTTAAATTGTTTCCAACAAATTTTGCTTCATAAACTAAATTACATAAATTTTAAAATTGATATTTAGCATGAAGTGTACATCCAGTTCGTTTATTTGTTGTGGATGGTTCCGTATATTTAATAATTGTGTTTGTAACTTAATTTAGTCATAGCATTGAGTTTTCAATTCATGCTATTTCATTAATTACTGAATTAACCATCTCCAAAAAACACTCAGTCAGAAAATTATAATATATGTTCGAGAAAGAATAGTAATGGAAAAATTACATTAGAGGGCTTGAACAATATTGAGTATGTCCAACTATTTATCCGTTGACATTCCCATCTCATCCATATATTGTAATTAATATCTTCTCATTTGTCTGTTTTGAGAACTCGCTCCCTAATATCTATCTTATAATGGTGATAAAGCGTTCCTACTCCAGTATGGGTAATTTGACAGTTGCTTGTTTTTTGTATATTTTCCGCAATATAATGATGCTGCGACGTCGTGGTATCTCAGTAGACACTATATCAAGGTAGGCCATTGACGTTCTACGGTTATTTGTTGCCTTCAAAATCCGAAGGGTTGACTTGATGATGTGCTTTTCTGAAAATCGACATTACCAGTAGGATTGCTGAGTCTCTGGTCGGGACTTTTCTAAATCTAGTTTGAAGAAGGAAATATCAGAGGCATGCACCCAGGAAAAACTGTGTGGGGCAGTTTATTCTAGAGCCACTTGGCACGTGTTAAAAATATTACTGAATAAAAATATTATTGTGGATCAGCGCAGTGGTTTTTTGGCTATGAGGTTGTTTCTATACTGGTAATATAATAAATTTCAGAGTTCGGTCGTAAAGCGTGTCCAACACTTTCGGTTTTATAAATTTTATGGGGTCAAAGACAAAGGACGTCGTCAATGAACCGTTTTTTTCTATGAATAAGATAAAAAGTACATTACGTGTAATGGTTTTCTTAATGGAGTTATTTCCGAAAATCATTTGGTAGAACCAAACATTAGTGTGAGATTAGAGCATTGAACTTTAAATATAAATAAAATAAAAAAAACAAATTGTGTGTTAATATATTTGAGACCGGGACTTGTCTTTAAATCTGTTTTTGTTTTTTACAGTTCATTGTGTTCGTGTCGATGTTAAGTTTGAATAAAACAAGGTCGGATGTTTTATTATATATAATATGTTATTCTTAGATTCGTTTGCAACGTATCTTTTTGTTTCTATAAAAAATTCAATGCGACAATATATTTTTTTTGTAATAATACTCATAAAAGCCGTTTAGTTAGTAAATATAATACTATATTTTGATTCTTGAAACGCGCTTCTTATATGATACGATGATCTCTTTCTGGTTCAATTAACACTAATCATACCAACACTTACTGGTACCTATTTCTACCATAGCGGGTAGATAACGGTATACGACATGTATTACTCGAATTAAACAGAACTAAACAAAAACAAAAAATTGTATAATAACTGTAGATTAATTGGTAAGAAGAAGTCATGAAGTCAATTGTGCAAAATCAATAAGATGATACGTGCATTTTCATTGCAAAAGTCCAAAATGGGTCATTTGATCCAGTATGGTATGTTTAGTGTTAAATAGATTATTTTTATCTGCATTTGTGAAGTTTTGGACGAAAACTGGTTACATAAACATTTATGAATGTTTTACGTCCTTCATCATAATAACTTTACTTCCCAGTTAATTTCTGTATTGTAATATCTGACATTAGCAGTGACCAATTTAAAATTCAGATTTGTCAGATTAATTTAAATTTTATTGTAAATATTTATCTATAATTAATTATTTACATAATTATATTGTTCGTTTCCTTCTCGATTACGGCTACTTCATTTAATTTATCGATTAAAATTGTTCTAAAGTTAGTGTCGAATTTGAGTTCCAGCTCTGTTCAAACTACTTACTTTCGTACATCACAGATGAGGGATTTCAAAAAACTAGAGGTCCCGCAGTAATCGAAATTCGACTATAATTAATTGAAATTGTAAGTTTGTACACTATTATGATTGTATTTTATACTTCTATAATCACAAATTTCGCCAAGACTACATTATAAAAAATATTAACAAAGACAAACAATATTTAATCTATTCTCAATTTGACAACAGACGTCAAGAACAAAAGTTTGACAATAAATAGCATGCATGCGTGTGTGTGCGTCAAATACATGGTATGTAGTGTGTGTAATTTTTCTTTATTGATTTAATGTATCTTTTATGCATTATTTAAAAAAAATATTAGCATTGTGCACTTCTTCTCTATATTCTCTATAAGTGTGGAAAATTTCATACTCCTCCGTCCGCGCAATTTTCGTAAAAAGGGATACAAAGTTTTTACTTCACGTATTAATATATGTATAGATTCGTAGAAAAATAAAATTAATTAATCCTTTGTTTATTCAGCGATGACATTTCTGAATAAACTTTCGCGGTTACCCGTGCGAGAAGCATTGCAGTCACAACGCAGTTTGATTGTCGATTGTATTCGAATCAATGCCAAATTGAGTTTGGCTTTCTCAAATCCACATATACTTGTAAATAGACACAAACACACACAACAAACACACATACAAACATAAAACAGACAATATACTCGTAAATAGATACAAACTAACACAAGAAACATACATGCAAACATAAAACAGACAACTTAAAAACTTTTTGCTCTGTTTCGTCAACCAATTTATGCTTTGTTTTTGTTTAATAATAACGATGAGCTTTAGTGTTATGTGAAATGGAAAAACTTTGTAAAAAGTCAGTTTTGTTTTATAAAAATTACAATCACACATTTTTAGTTTTGAAATTTCGGTTATTATGGTAAAATCTATTTAAAAAGTTTTTAAAATGATTACCTAATTAATTTTAATGATTCTCAATTATATTTTTAGTGATGTAAAGTAATTACCATAGCTCATAGACATTACAATGTTCTCGCATTTATTTAATACGTACCTATAGCTCTCGATTTTTCGGCTTCTCTCTATCTATTTTTGTTTCACCTTTGAAAATCGATAGTAATAAAAATTTATGCGATAATGATTTTGAAAACCATTCATTATCCTTGCCGCTTTATGGTACGACTATGACATTATGTTTTGCGGTTAATATATTTGATGATGAAATATAACAAGCAATTTGAACTCGGTCTTGATCATAGACTATATATATGCTTTTAATTATTATTTTTTCGTACATAT